TAGGAGTCCAGCACCTTAATCACTATGCCATCTGCTACCTCTAACCCCCCATACTTACTTTTTAACGTGACAGCTAAAAAATTTTAAATTATAGAGGTGGTTTGCTTTTCTATTAGCACTGCTGGTAACAACTATACCTCTTCCATCATCTTAATTTGGGACATTTTACTGTCCAACCAGGAATTTATTCCTTTCTCAAGGTTTAGTTCTAACAATTCTTTATTCCCACTGAGATCTCCAAACCAGTGATCCAATCTTCCAAACTTCTCTTCCTTGTATGGCTTTGATCCTATGGTCCATTGCCCCCTTTTCTCTAGTGTGCTGTATTCACCTGGCAAAAACTTTTCTGATTAATTCAACTCTGCCTATTCCACACTAGCCCCAGGGCAGTTAAACAGGGCTAAAGAACAACCAGTCCTGGGACCAGCAGGTGGTGTGGTAGTTAAGGCACTGGACACTCCCATGTGACCACGGTTCGAGTCCGGGACCTTGTGGCTTGCTTCTTCACTTTCCTCTCTCTCTCTGGTCAAATTAAAATGAAGGAATGAATAAATAAATAAATCTTTTAAAAAAGGAACAACCAGTCTTGCTACAGTAGACCCTGAGGCTGCCTGGTAGACAGTCATTACACTTTCACTGTTGAATCAGTCTCCCAATCTGCCAGAGAGCTTCTTCATTTTTCAGCCTTCACAGTTTACCTCATAATTTTACTGAGAAAGTAAGAACAATGAGAAAAGAACTCCAACTCCAAGTCCTGCCTTGCCAAGCCTTCTTCCTATTACTGTAGATGAACTGGCAAAGTTCCTACTTAAGCCAACTCCTTCATTTCTGCATTAGACCTCTATATGATCTGATCACCTTTTTCAACCACTGGCTCCAATTCCTTCCTCTCCTCCAACCATGGTAGCGTACTTGCTTTACCTCACATATACCCAAAATAGTACCACCTCCAATTAACTGCACTTTTCATTCCTTATGGATAAGACACTCAAAACTATAGTTTTCTCCCTTGCTTCACTCAGATTTCACTCAAAATTTACCTCTTCTGACACATCCTTTGCCACTTTCTAAAACTGTATTTATTATACTCTATCCCTTTACTTCCTTCAGTCTCCATTTTTTAATTCTGTAAGTACTTACCTTCAGGTTTATTATACACTGGTTTATTTTCCCTCTAAACTAGATTATAAGTGCCTAAGGGCAAAGACAAGATTCAGTTCAATGTTATATTCCAAACTCCTAAACAGTATTTGGTGCACAGTCAACAGGGAATAAATTTTTGGTGAAGGAACAATTTCTTTCTTTTTTTTTTTTACTTTGTATTTATTTATTTATTTTTTGAGAGTTTTTTTTGCTATAGGGCGCGTGCGCTCGCCAGACAGACAGAGAGAGACATAGAGACAGAAAGCGAGAAATCACCCCCCAGGGGGGATGGTCACGCCGCAATCTCTTCTCCTCCATTCTCCTCTTGGGATCTTGGGCACGCACGCACACGCGCCCGGCGTGAGTTCTAAGCCACTGGGTCCGGGACGCAAACCGTGGTCGACTACATGGGAGTCCAGCGACATAGCCATTACACTAACTTCTGGTTCCCAAGGAACAATTTCTTTCATGAGTACAGATAGCCCTCAGTATCCATGGGTTTCACATCCATAAATTATACTAGCCATGGATCAAATTACTCAGGAAAAAAGTTAGTTTCACCTGTACAAAACATATAAACTTTTCTCTCCTGTCATCACTCCCTAAACAATACAGTGTAATAACTATTAGCATAGCATTTATAATGTACTAAGTATTCTAAATAATTTGGAAATGTGTTAAAGTAGAAGGATGTGCATAGGTCATATACAAAACTATACCAATTTATATAAGGGACTCAAGTATCCATGGATTTTGATATATCCATTAAACCTGTCTTATTCTATTAGGTCATCAGGAAAGTCATGACTTTGTGTTAATGTTTTCCAATGCAAAAATGTGTCATGACTTTCCCAAAATGGGAAAGTATGTCAATATGTCAGCTACATACTATGAAACATTCAAACAACAGAGTAATTTGTTTTAACTAGTCTTTTGTTGACAGATAGTTAGGTTGCTTCCTAAATTCTACAACTATAAACAACATGGTAGTGAGCAACCTTCTACATAAATGAATCATGGCTATCTAACAAACTCCTAAGAAATGGAACAGGATATAGCATTTACATTTTGCTGAATACTCTAGGGCAAATGTCATTAATTAATGTCATTTTATAACTAAGCATTCTAAACAGTACCTATAATTTCAGAGTGATAATAAAAAACTACAAATTAAGGTATCCTAAATTAGCCATACTTTCTCATAACACATGATTATAATGTCTTTTTCCTCCAAAGAAATGCCATAACCTTCAGGGGAAGAATGGAGCAATTTTCCAAACCTACTTAATTCTCAACCACTCAGGACTGCTTTGGTTATCTATTGTTTACTCTCTTGCTCTCCTCAACTACTGATAAACTAGAGGGGCAAAAAAAAATCAGATCATATGTTTCTTTTTTTTTTTTTTAAGTTTTTGTTGTTGTTGTTTGTTTTTTGCCATAGGGTATGGGTGCCTCCTGGAGAGGAGAGAGAGACAATGAGAGGGAAAGTGAGAAATCACCCCGCAGTGGGGATGGCCATGCTGCAATTCTCCAGGAATTTTGGGCACACACACACATGCGCCCAGCATGATTTTCAAGCTATCATGTCCAGGATTCTAATGGTAGTGAACCATGTGGGAGTCCAGTGTCTGAACCACCATACCACCTGCTGGCCCCCAGATCTCATGCTTCTTATGTTCTGGAAAGGACACTCTCAAATTCCATACCTCATCTCGTCTTCCACCATTAAAAGAAGAGCTAAAGGGTTTGCTGCTGCCGCCACCCCTTTGAGGAGGCATCTTGTTAAAAGTTTTGCTTTTCTGTGAATTGGAGCGACGGGTCTGGTTGCTACAATTTTCATTTTTGGGGTAGGAAGGTTCACGTTTGCGATTATAACGCTTGGATCCATTTGAGTTCTTTCCATCTGAAAGTAAGAAACAAAAAAAATTAGTCAAGAAGTAATACAGATAATTGGATTATTGTTTTCTACCTTACAGGAAAATTGTTATTTTAAACAAGGGTAAAACGGGCCCTTCCATGACCTCTAAGAACTCTAGTTTAGGGCAGGGCATTAGTGCTTTGAGTAAGACACCACAGAGTAAAGTGGAATTTTTTTTTTTTTTTTTTTTTTTGTTTAAAGCAATGCTCAGGGCAGCAGATGGCAAAGCAGCTACATCACTGGATTCTCACATGGCTGACCACAGTTCTAGTCCTGGACCCAGTCATGAAAACTGCAATTTCTCATTTTTCCTCTCATAGTCTCTCTCTCTTTAGTGACTGTGTGTACCCTAAGGCAAAAGCCTCTTTAAACAAACAAAGAAAAAAAGACGCTTCAAGGGTCTCTCCCTCAGGACAAATACAATATAGATCACACCTCGTAAATTAAGACACTCAGTTCACACTGTCTCTGTTCACGGTCTCTCTCTCTCTTGTTTTAATTTAACTTTAAATTAAATTTTAATTCACACTGTGCATGAGTGAGTGCATGCATGTCTAAAATCTCAAGAGGAAAAAGGAAGAGGAACTATGGTGTGGACGTCCTCCACCCGGAAGGTGATTTCTTCTTGTTCTCTCTCTCTCTCTGGTGAGTACAAGCACCTTATGGCAAAAATCTAAGTTTTAAAAAAGGGGGGAGGGAGATGGCATGGAGGTTAAGGCACAGGACTCCCATGTGGTTCCAATCCAGGAACTGGTAGCTTGCTTTCTCATTTTCCTTCTCTCTCTCTGTTCAAATTAAAAAATAAATTAATTAAATCATTATTTTTTAAAAAAACTGGCATATAGAGGGGCTTCAGAACGTTTGTAGAAAACAGATGAAACACATTCTAAGTTGAAACTACCTTAAGTGATAAATCCCTCAGCAGAGGAATTAGTTTCTACTGAATGCAAAACACTTTCACAACAATATAAAACTAAAATATCATTAAATCAGGACCAGCAGATGGCGTGATGGTTACATCACTGAATTCCCATGTAGTCCATGCACAACGGAATCCCAGTCCCAACAGTTTAAAACTCACGCCAGGTATGGGACCAGCAGATGGTGTAATGGCTACGTTGGTGGACTCCCATGTAGTCAACTGGAGTTCAAGTACCAGACTCAGTGGCTTTAACCTATGCATGCCCAAGATCCCAAGAGGAGAACAGAGAAGGGACTGTGGTGTGGCCATCCCTCCCCAAGGGGTGATTTCTCGCTGTCTCACCCATTAGCATACATGCCCTATAGCAAAAATTTGTAAAGATAAATAAATAAATAGTAAAAATCAGGGCTGCAGATGATGTGGTGGTTAAGGATGCTGAACTCCCACATGGTCAACCATGGTTCAAGTTCCAGACCTAGCAGCTTGCTTTCTCATTTCCACCATCCCCCACTCACTCTGTTCCCCTCTGGTCATATTAAAATGAATAAATAATGGTTAAATTAAGTAATTCTCTAAAAAAATTTTTTTACTTTTTAAAAGAATTATTTTATTTTACCTTTATTTTATTTTAATTTGACTACAGAGGAATGGAGGTGGGGGCGCGGCACGGAGGGGAAGGAGAAAAGTGACAAAGCAAGCCACAGGGTCTGGGACTTGAACCATGGTTTGCCATGTGGGAGTCCAGCACCCTTAACCACCATGCCACCTGCTGGCCCCATTAAAAAAACAGATTTTTAAAAATAAAAAATTGTTAAATGGATTTTTTTGAGAGAGAGACTTTTGCTATAGGGCATGCGCACTCGCTAGAGAGACAAACAGAGAGACAGAAAGTGAGAAATCATCCCCAGAGGGGATGGCCTTGCCACATCCCTTCCCCTCCAATCTCCTCCCAGGATTTTGGACATGTACACCCATGTGGCTTAAAACTCACGCCAAACTCAAGATTTACCATACTGACAGAAGAGGTCAAGTGCAGGCCCTTTGAGAAGACATCTGCACTTAGGCCGTGAACAATCCCTTTCAAAGGCTAAGACAACTGAAGAGTTTCTGCTCAGACTTCACCCTCTAGACCCCAAGATCCACCAGACTGGTAGGGCACCTTCTAAATTCTCTCTCCATCTCTCCCGGTCTGTCTAGCTCTCTAATTTTTTAAAAATTATTTTATTTTTAATGTAAACCACTGCTTGGCTGTCTCATTCTCCTTTATCTTGCTAATTCTCACCTTCTCCCCTACCCCCTCCAGATAGGAGAGGTAAAGACAGGCCCTTTGAGAAGTCATCTGGATTTGAGCTATGAGGAATCCCTTTCAAGGGCAAAGACAACTGAAGAGTTTCTGCTTAGACCTCACCCTCTAGACCCCAAGATCCATCAGACTGGTAGAACACCCTCTGTATTCTTTTCTCTCTCTGTCTCTCCCTGTCTCTCTTTCATTTTTTTGCTTTCTTTTCTCTCTTTTTAAATTCTTTTTCTTTTTTTTTTCTTTTTCTGATTTCTTTTCCTTTTCCTTTTATCTTTATAAATACTGCTCAGCCTCCACACACTGATAGACAGGTCTAAGTTCACAATAGCCAAACATCTGATTACTATTAGGGTCAGAATAATCCTCAATTCCTACTGAATCTGCTGCACAAAAGGAGAAAAGCAAAACTGCAGAGAGATTATAGATCACCTCCTCCTGCACACCTCTGAACACTCAGATTTAACTTCAAGAAATTAGGAAGAAATGCATAATTCATCAGATGACCAGAAACTACCACACAGGCACAAGAAATGAGAAACCAAGAAAATCTCTCTCCTCCAAGGGAAAAAAAACAACTCATGCACAGACAGTACAATAGAACTCAAGGAACTGAAAGATAAAGAATTCAGAATATTCGTAACAACAAAACTAACAGAGATGCAAGAGAAGAGAGACAATGACTCCAGAAGACACAGGAGAAAAGGACCTATGAATTCCAGGAGGTGTGGAGGTTCTTGTGTGAGTTGAAAGAGGAAATATACACCATAAAAAAAGAATCAAACAGAACTGTTAGAAGTGAAAACTATAATACAGGAAATCAAAACCTCCCTTGAAAGTACTGAAAGCAGATTAGATCATGCAGAAGACTGAAATCAGATGTAGAAGACAGAACCTCTGTCCTCGATAAATTTGCCAAAAAGACAGAAAATAACCCAACGAAATGAAGATATATGAGAAATATTAGATGCCATTAAACATCCAAACATCTGGATAATTGGTATCCCAGAAGGTGAAGAAATTAATAAAGGCATTGATAATCTATTCCATGAAATCCTGGAAGAAAATTTCCAAACCTAGAGAGGCATTCAAATATCCAGACCCAAGAAATACAAAGGATCCCACTGAGAATCAACCCAAGAAGATCTTCTCCAAGGAACATCATAGCCAGATTGACCGAAACCACAGACAAAGTCAAGGTTTTAAAATCGGGCAAGAAAGAAACATCAAGTTACTTACTCAGGATATCCCATCAGGTTAACAGTGGACATCTCACCAGAAACAAGGAGAGCAAGGAAAGAATGGGAAAATATATTTCAAGTGTTGACTGAAAAATGATTTCAACCAAGAATTCTATACCCGGCAAGATTATCCTTCATATGGGAAGAAAAGACAAAAACATTCTTAGATAAACAAAACCTGAAAGAATTTATCAATACCAGAAAGAAAAATAAAAGATACAAACTTTCACGTTATTCCATGAGCTTTTTCATGCATCCGTCCTTCTCACAGCATGATTAATGGCAGCGCTGCTGTGCACCATACACTTACAGCATTTACTGTTGCACATTTAGGCGGCTTCGAATTTTTTGTTAGCTTTTAATATGACAGTACTGGGAGACTCTTTATGTCAAACTCTTAAAGTGGAATTAGCATGTACAGTACGATCATTGAAGCCTTTTTTAATATTCTCAACTTACTGTCTTGGATTGTTACACCAATTCATTTATATCCTAACAGTACTATAAAAGAACATGTCTAGGGACCAGCAGGTGGCATGGTAGTTGGGGGCACTGGACTCCCACATGGCCGCCCGCTGTTCAAGCCCTGGACCTGGTGGCTTGCTTTTTCACTTTCCCTCTTTCTCTCCCTCTGTCTGATCAAACTGGAAAGTAATAATAATAATAATAATAATAATAATAAAGTTAAATAAAGTAATTCTTTTTTTAAAAAAAAAGAGAATGTCTTTTTCATTTCATTTTAATACTGAACTGAATAAACTCTGTTCAATTAAAGGGTCAAAATGGTTTCTCGTTTTAAATCTACATTTCTCTAATAAGTAGCAACAAATACTTTTTCAGTCTATTGACAACTTATATTTTCTGTAAAAAGCCTGCTTGTTTTCTTTGCTCTGTGTCTTCTATTGAGAAGTTGAACTGCATAAATATTCCTTTATTGTCCCAAATCAAAGAACCCTGACCAGATGCATCTAACAGTGCCAATGTTTACCATCTTAAAACAAACAAGCAAAATCTACATGAGAACCAAATACAACTAAGCAAAGAAAACTACAAGAGGTTCTCAAATAGTCTACGAATAAAAAAAGAAC